CTTTCTTCCTTCTTTAGGAAGGCCTGGATTGCTATCTACTTTCCTCTTATGACCACCTTTGCTGCATCCCAGAGGTTTGGGGTTGTGGTGTTACCACTTTTATTGGCTTCCATATACTTTTTAATTTCCTCTTTAACTTCTTGGTTGACCCATTCATTTGTTAGTAGGATGTTGTTCAGTCTCCAAGTATTTGTTACCTTTCCAAATTTGTTCTTGTGGTTGATCTCCAGTTCATAGCGTTGTGGTCTGAAAATATGCATGGTGTGATCTCAGTCTTTTTGTACTTGCTGAGGGCTAATTTGTGTCCCAGTATGTGGTCTGTTCTGGAGAATGTTCCATGTGCACTGGAGAAGAATGTATATTTCGCTGCTTTAGGATGAAATGTTCTGAATATATCTGTTAAGTCTATCTGGTCCAGTGTGTCATTCAAAGCCATTGTTTCCTTGTTGATTTTTTGATTAGATGATCTGTCCATTGTTGTGAGTGGGGTGTTGAAGTCTCCTACTATTGTGGTATTATTAGCAGTTAGTTTCTTTATGTTTGTGATTAATTGATTTATATATTTGGATGCTTTCACATTTGGGAAAGAAGTGTTTACAATTGTTAGGTCTTGTTGGTGAGTAGACCCCTTAATTATTATATAATGCCCTTCATCATCTCTTGATACAGTCTTTGTTTTAAAGTCTAGAATGTCTGATATAAGTATGGCTACTCCGGCTTTCTTTTGGAGACCATTAGCATGATAGAGGGTTTTCCATCCCCTTACTTTCAATCTGAAGGTGTCTTTAGGTCTAAAGTGGGTCTCCTGTGAACAGAATATAGATGGATCTCATTTTTTTATCCATTCTGTTACCCTATGCCTTTTGATTGGAGCATTGAGTCCATTGGCGTTTAGAGTGAGAACTGAAAGATATGAATTTATTGCCATTATGTTGCTTGTAGAGTTGGAGTTTCTGGTGGTGTTCTCTGGTCCTTTCTAATCTTTGTTGCTTTTGGTATTTATTTATTTATTTACTTTTTTTCCCATCTTTTGTCCCCTCAGAGAGTCCCCCTTAAAATTTCTTGCAGGGCTGGTTTAGTGGTCACAAACTCCTTTAATTTTTGTTTGGGAAACTTTTTATCTCTCCTTCTATTTTGAATGAGTCTTGCTGGATAAAGAATTCTTGGCTGCATATTTTTCTGATTCAGCACAGTGAATATATCCTGCCACTCCTTTCTGGCCTGCCAAGTTTCTGTGGATAGGTCTGCTGCAAACCTGATCTGTCTTCCCTTGTAGGTTGACTTTTTTTTCCCTTGCTGCTTTCACGATTCTCTCCTTGCCTGAGTATTTTATGAATTTGACTATGATATACTTTGTTGATGGTCAGTTTTTGTGGAATCTAATGGGAGTCCTCTGTGCTTCCTGGATTTTGATGTCTGTGTCTTTTCCAAGTTAGGAAAGTTTTCCGCTATGATTGGCTCACATAACCCTTCTACCCCTAAATCTTTCTCTTCCTCTTCTGGGACCCCTATGATTCTGATGTTGTTCCTTTTTAATGAGTCGCTGATTTCTCTAATTCTTAAATTATGCTCTTTTGCCTTAATTTCCCTCTTTTTTTCTGCTTCATTATTCTCTATAAGTTTGTCCTCTATATCACTGATTCTCTGTTCTCCCTCACTGTCCTTGCCACTGCAGCATCCATTTGAGATTGCAGCTCAGTTATAGCATTTATTTCATCCTTACTAGCTTTTACTTGTTTTATCTCTGCAGAAAGGGATTCTAATCTATTTTTGACTCCAGCTAGTATTCTTAAATTCTGGTCAGACATCTTGCTTGTATCTGTGTTGGTTAAATACCTGGCTGTCATTTCTTCATGCTCTTTCTTTTGGGGTGAATTCCTTTGTTTTGTCATTTTGAAGGGAGAAAAGGAATTGATGAGGTAGACAAAATTAAAATTAAAAAAATAAAAATTAAAAACAGACACGCACACACAAAATCAAAATCAAATAAATCATCCTAAATCCTAGGTGTGTTTTGGTCTGGGTGTTGAAAGTGGCTTGATAGATTAGAGAAAAAAGGGGGAAAAAAAGAAATCGTTTGAAAGTTTGAAAAAATGAATACACTGAAGTAGACTACAATGAAATGATGGAAGTGAAAAAGAATTTGAAAAAACTTACACAAAAGTAAAAAATATAGTAGAAAAAAATTAAAATATTTTTATAAAAATTGAAAATAAAAATGAATTTTTTCTCTTTTTGTATTCAAGAAAAAGAAAAGAAATGAAAGGGAAAAAAGAAAGAAAGAAAGAAAATTGAATAAATGGACCAGCTAACAGACTGAAGTAGGACTGAAATTACTTCGTTTTCCCCTAGAAGTCAAACTATGAAGGGCTTTATAGTCCATAAACTAAGCAGGTGGTGAGTCTTGTTTTCTTGAAGAGCAAGGTTGGCCCAGTTGGGCGGGGCTTAGTGTAACGGCTCTGTTCTCCACTAGATGGCGCTGCTAGCCTGCTGGGGTGGATTGTTGTGGCACTTGTAGGTGCACATACGCATGTGCAGGAGCGGTGAAAATGGTGTCTCCCAGCTACTCAGTCTCTAGTATCGGAACTCTGCTCTCCCCAATCAGCAATCGCGTAACCATCTTTCATCTTCGGCTTCTGTCCACTCCCCGCTTCCACACTGTCCGTAACCAAGCCCGAGGCAGCACCTCCCTCCTGAGTTTTGTCTCAGATGTGGCTGTCTTCCCCAGCCCCCAACTACTGAGGGACTGTGGCTTTGACCTAATAAGCCCCTCTGCAGAGGGTCTCACAGAGCAATGGCCAGGTGCCAGCTGTACCCAGGAACACTTGTGGGACCGTGCTGCTGCCAGTGCCCAGAGACTGAGGCTAGGTGCCAGCCTGCCCCAGAAAAATTTCGCGAGACAGTGTAGCACTTGTGCCTCAGGGATTATGGAAAATCACAACACACATCTGGTACCAGGCTTCACCCCACAGTGACCTTGTACCAGCACCAGCAAGTGTGGCCATTCTCTGGGGTCTGCTCTACCAAGTGTCCTTCCAGCAGTGGAACCGCTTCTCCCTGTGTGGCCTGAGAACTTCCTGGACCCCACTCTGCTCCTGGGGATTCACCCTTCCCACCAGAGCACTGCTAGGTATTGAGCTGCAGAGTTTCAGACTCTGCATTCTTCCTGTTTACAGTCTTAATGGAATTGAAACCCTCTCCTTTCTCCTTTCTCCCTTTTTAGTTCAGTCCCTGTGGCTGTTTCCAATTTTCCACTTTGTCTCCAGCTGTTTTTGGGGAGGGGTGCTTTTCCCATATTCTCCCCAACCCCCCACCCCCAGTCTCTGTCCTCCCTCCCCATGCAAAAGCAGCTCCCTGTCCTCTGCGTCTTCTCTCTCCCCAAGGTCATCTCTCCTCACCATGTAGGTCCTGAATTCTGTGGTTCAGGTTGTGCAGATGTTGTGTTAATCCTCCAATCAGTTTTCTAGGTGTGCGGGATGGTTTAGTGTTGGTCTGGCTGTATTTCATGGACTCGAGACACACAAAAAACTTCCATGCTGTTCCACCATTGTGGTTCCTCCCCCACTTTTTTCTTTATATATTTTGGAAGTATTTAATTTTGATTAAAAGAGTATTTCATAATTATATTTCCTTTCATATTTAAATTTCATATTAAAATCAAGATAAAAAAATGAAATTGATCACCTAACCCCATTGCATCTCCTACTTTGAATGGCTGGCTCCATTTTATTCTTCACATGTTGGTGTAAAAGCCATCTGTCTGTCTCTGAAGCAGGTTGTTCCTTTTATTTTTCTTTGTGGTAACTTTTACTTCCACTTTGTAGTATAATGTTTTTAGTCACTTTTATTTTAATAATTTATCTTGTATAGGGCTAGGCATGTAGTTACTGAGGTATTTGGTGAATGGATGACTAGATGAGTGCATGAGTGAATGAAAATGACCAGATTGAAATTGCCATCTTATTCTCTTGCACAAACTATGACGTTGAAATCTCAGGTATGAATTCATCTTTGTTGTATTTTGCTGAATACTTATAGTACTAAAGAAAATACAACACTGACAGTCAACATTATGGACTCCATCTGGCTGTTGAAAAAACCCACTGAGTTAAAGCAGGGTTCACTTTGGGTCAGAGATGCCATTTTCCTGTCCTAACTCCATTATCTTACACACCAACACTCACCCTTTCCTTCTTCCCCTGAAAAGCAACATAATGAAGATAAATAGGCATTTTACAGACAAGTAATCTCATGATAACAGATCCCTGTTATTTACACCAGCAAAACCATTTCGATGGTCAAGACTTGCCTGCACTCACTGGGGTTAGATTCTGTAGATCCATGATCTGTAAAGGTGTAGGGTTCATTAGTACCTTGAGAATAGCTGTGCATGACTGCTGGGGATCAGATTACAGGATCTCATTAACTCGTTCTCCTTGTCTGCTTAGACAGCCTTTTCTTAGGACCAAGAGCTATTATTTCAACTTGTTTGATACCAAGAGGGCCAGAGGCTGAGGGTTTTCTTTTACTTGCTTCTGGTCAATATCATTTTAAAGTGTATGCTAAGGAAATAACATTTATTGCAAATGTTGCTATAAAATATAGAATCGTTTCATATCTCTGATCAACTAGTCTTTGCTTAAACCTTTCTAGTTATCTAGTTAAGAATTACCCAACTTAAATCTTTGCTAATCTGCAATAGTCTGTTAAATATAAAGAAATCAGTAAACTCCAAGGAAATTTTATTGTTTTATGTTGCCTTTTTAAAAATTTTTGGCTTATCTGAGGAATGAAAATGACGTGAGCATTATTAAAAGCATGTGGATCTACTTAGGGTTCACTCAGTGCAACAGACTTAGAAAGTAGGTCAGCATTTTACTTCTTCAAAGTATTAATTGCAAGGGCATACTGGTCTTCTGCAAGAGTCTGCTATGGACAAATGAAGGGTGATTGGAGAGTGTTCTAGGACAAGGGGAAAATATGTGTGTCTCTTTCTTCAGGAAGAGAAAACATGGAGGGATCAAGAAATAAAAAGAAGGTCATGTGCTGAAGAATATGAGGGAAGAGTGGAGTTAGAAGAGGAGCAAGGTAAGTAGAGGCCAGATTATGGATGGCTTTATAGAGTATGTTAAGGATATGGCTCTTTAACCCCAAAGCAAAAGATGGCTTTTGAATGGCTTTAACCACACATGAAGGTAGGAAGGTAAGAATGTGGTCAGATTTATTTTTTGAAAAGATACATAGACTGGATGAGAGGGATTAGTAAAAGTGAGGTTGAGATGCTATTGCATTGATCCATGGTGAGAAATCATATTGACTGTGTAGATAAAGGAGAATGGAAATGAAAGGATTGAGGATGCATTTAAGACATAAAAGTCTGTATTACTTGTTAATGAATTGGGGGTGTGTGGTACAAGGAAGGAGGAAGTGTCAAGAATGACTTCCACATAGCTTTTAAGCAACTGGGTAAATAGCAATGCCATTCATTGAGAAAACCACATGTGAAATAAAAGATAGTGAATTTAGGCTTACACATAATACACCTTAGATCCAAGAGAAGATATGGCATAAGCAGATATCCATCTAGGACTCAGAGGAGAGGTCTATTAGCACTGGAAATTCAGGTCATAGGAAGGGATGAGATGGCCTAGCAGAAGAGTAAAACATGAAAAAAAAGAGGGTCTGGCACTGACCTCTAGCCAACTCTAACATTTAGTGATTTGAGGAGAATAAGCTGGCAACAAAGCTGATTAAGAGCAGCCAGAGAGGTACAGGAAAACCTGAAGAGTGGGTAAGGGGAGGGGGGGACTAGAAGCCAAGGGAAGAGGGTGTTTCAAGATGGATAGAGTGATCACTGGTAAAGGGGTGGGGGTTAATGCTGCTGAGTACCAAACAGGATGAGAGCTAAAATTTTTCTGATGAATTTAGCAGTATCATGGTCACAGGTAAGTCTAGAAAGAGCCATTTTGTTAGAGTGGAGGAACAAAGGCCATCCATTGAAATGGATCGTTAATGGAATATGAGGAAATGTGAGGATATAGAGTTTTGACATATTTCATTATGAAGAAAAAAGGGAGGGATGGTGGATGAAAGGAAAACAACATTAAATAGGAATTCTTTTCTTATTATTAAATAGAGGCCAGAGGATATTTAAATATTTGTGGCAATAATACAATTGAGAGGTAGGGATTGAATAAACAGGAAAGAAAAAAGTTCACTTGTATTGTCTTAGGATGTATGCTGTTGCCCATAACCATCCTGTACTAATTGTAGACTCCCCCTGTACCTTTCTTCTTGGCTATTAGCTAAGACTCCAGAAAAGAGTCCCTCTATCTACCTTGAATTAGCCTCCAAGTTCAGCCTCCTAAACCAGAAAGGCCAAGCCTCTTGCTGATCCTTCAAACTTCAGTGGGCTTTTGTTCCCTGAGTTCAGTTCAGTCCAGTACTTCCCCTTTGCTCCATGACCACAGGCACATCCAGTGCCTTAGCCACAGATCTTGGGACCTCTTTCTTCATGAGAGCCCCAGGCTCTTCACTTGCTTAAGAAGGGAAATGAAAGAAATAAATACTAAACTCACAAAATGTCAGTGCTTGGCTATTCATCAGTTCAGTGACTGAAAATATTTGCCCTGTATCATAGTAAGGTCCCATGACCAATCGCTTAATTACATCTTAAAGAACACCCAACTTCAAGGGCAACTTGCGATTATAAGTCAGATGTACACTCTTGAGATTCCATCCCAAGCCACGGTCCTTCCTATGTATGCTTCATGGGTTTTCCTCTCAGACCTCTTTCTAGCTTGGTTTCCATTAAATTCAGTATGGCTGTCATTCCCCACAGAAATCTAATCCCATCTGTTTTACGTTTATTTCTGGACCTTTTAATGTCCTAACTTACATCTTTGGAGAAAATATTGAAAGCTGAAAGTAGTAGATAAAGATTTGTGTTCAGGAAACAAGCTGTCAGCACAGATGTATGATATAATTTTTACCAAAAGTTCAATATTACCTTAATGTGTATTCAGGGAAAAGGCTATAAATATAATGTTAACTCTAAATGGGATCATAAAGCAACTGAATATTTTCATAGCTATTTACCCAGCGATTGGTTTGAAGCAGTTTTACACCATTATTTCTGATTCTTCTGTGTTTACTTTTAGCCTTTTATAATTAAAGGAAGAGAGAAAGGGAGGAAGGGAAGAGTAAAGGATTCTGCTTCACTTTTCCCCCTAAAAAGCTAACAAGCACATAGGCATCTGTTTTAAAAGTCCAGAGTCCTGTGATATTTCCTTTGGTTTCATCTCTGCTCACCTCATGCTAAGAGGTAGCACAATACAGTGTTATGATCATGGATTTTGGAGACAGCTAGATCTGGGCTCAAATACCAGCTTCATTGTTCACCATGTATGAGACCTTGGACAATTTTCTAAATCTTTGAGCCTCAGTTTCTTCATGAAGTATTTAACAATATGAACCTTGCTGGGTCACTGTGAGGATCACATAGGATTAAGTGGCAAAGTGAATTACATATCAATAAATGGCAGCTATTGTTGCAAAATGGACTGAGACCTAACACATGTGTGCTAGTCTATTTCTTTCATGAAAGAAGAGCCTAATTGGAGTGAGAGCCACCTGCAGATGGAGCCATTCATAATAAATGGAGTCATTCATACTCAAGTTGTGACTCTCCTATTGGTGGGGGCCAAATGCTCCTTAGCATGATGATGTCAGCATTACATGAAATATGCTTTCTTCATATGAGATAGTCTGTGAGGCCTTTGGGGTGGGGTTGGAGGGAGTGTGTGGTGAGTGAAAATGAATGCTTGCATTGATGAATATGCTTGCTGCTTAGACCCAGAGGAAGTCGGCTGGTAAGGAAATTGAATCAAGACACTTTCTCTCTCTTCATTGGGTAAATTCAGATCATGCTTCTTTCTCTTTGGAGTCTCCAAAGCCTGAAAAGCTTGATTTTATTACACCAGAAAGAACAGAGGGGAGGAAACTCCAGTGAAGATTCATGAAGGGTGGATGTGGACACTGGAGTAGGGGTCTAGAAGGAGCTGTAAGACAACAGGAGAGGAAATTGGGGAAAGTGAAAAGGGGTTAGAAAAGAGGGATAATCCATGTGGAGTACACCTTCCTTCTGAAGATCAGTCTGTAAGTGCCCATCACACCCTTTTGCGGTAGTAGGGAAACAATATCTGGTGTTTCCAGGTGATACTGCTCATTGAGAACTTCCTGACCTTTTCTAAAAGGAATGTGCATTCTTTCATTAAATTCTGGTGTTTGTATTTGGTCTGGGGAAGCCTAGCCAGGCAGGGAGTGTTTAAGACAAGAAAGGTCATGATTTCCCAATCACTCTGTAAGGGGTTTCCTGGCCACCCCACCAAATACACATGTTCCCACACATTGATGATCTCTACAGGGAGACCATAAGCCCTTATGGCTGAGACTACTTCACCAAGCAGGATGGAATTTCCTTATTCCTCCCACAGCCCATCGTAAGAGAGACAAGAATGGGCCCCAATCAGTCAACAGTTATGTCTAGAGTTCTTCCTTGGTGTGCTTTGTAAACCTTTCCGTCCTACAAAGTCTAACATTCCAGCTATGCTATTTGGCATGGCTATCCTCTTCCTGCTCACCTTCACTTCCTACTCCCAGCAGCCTGCCTTCTTTAATTCCAAACCTTGGTGAATTTTCTCATTTCCATGCAAGACCCCCTACTTTTTCCAGTGGTTGTTAGCCAAGTGCTGATCTGCATTTAGTTACCACATTTCAACTAAGCACACAGATACCTAATGTGTTCCTATTTCTTCTCATCCTTCCCCTGGGAAGAGATTTGGGGATCAGTAATGATTCATGGTGTGTGTGTTTATCTTGTTTAATATATTTATATTTGTGTTTATATTTGTATATACACTATCCATGTAGAAATGGAGACCAAAGTAGCAGGGAATAGACTACAGCAGTGAGTATTGAGAAAATGTGAGAGAGAGAAAGAGAAGAGATTTTTAGAGATTTTTAGGCAGTTGATGTATTGATGTAGTCTTTATAGTGATGAATGGCAAAGAGAAATTTTAAGTTATTTGGGTATGTGATACACTGTTTAAGTCCCATGCCACTCATTCAAGAATGCCTTCAGAGGTCATCCACAGAACTCTTCTATGTCTCCTAGAATTGCATTTGAGTTTTTGTTTGGTTGTATTGGAGTAGAATCCATCCTCAAGAGGGTTCTTCCATATTTGTGTTAAAGTTAGGTACAGGCCAGGATAGCTGGGTCAGAGGTCAAAATAAATTAAGGGCCAAAGGACAATGATGAAAATAATTCATGACCAAGGCCCAGAAAAAAGTGATGTAAGGGGGCTTGGAACCCTCCAATGGGCAGACTGCATGTGGGTTAAAGATCCTAACTACTAAATGGGGGAAAGCATGGTGCCTGACAGCCCTTCTAGATCTATAGTTTGCTGTAAATCCCTCAAATTATTAGCACCAATCCTGGATTTATTTTAGTAATCCATCTTCTGGATCAGAGACTTCACCAGGACTGATCCTAAATCATAATCAGGAGTGTGAGGCCAACATTTTCAGCTTCCTTTTAGACATCCCACTTGGTGGCCTTTCTCAGACTCAGCATATCCAGAACTGAACCTTTTGAAATCCTCTGTAGGTTTAGTTTAGATCACCAGTCACCTAGGTAACTGGGAAGGAAACACTGATTTCCTCCTCTCCCTCATTCTCTACCTCGAAGACCATCAGGTGAGTTGTTCCTACTCCCTAAAGCTCACTATATAATACCCTTTTCTCTTGAGCATATCTCCCTTATTTCAGATCCTCACCATTGTCTTCCTAATTAGCTTTTCAACTATAATCATCCATTATGTATTTCACCACCTGCCCTGTCAGCAGAATGATCTTTCTAAAATATTTTGATGGCTTTCATAGTCCCATGTTCTTTCACATCTTCAAGCTATGACTTCTACCCAGAATGTCCTTTCCTCACCTTGTCTGCCTGCAAGATTTGACTCAGATACTTTCTCTGAATCCTTCCTTGATTCCTTTCTATTAAAGTCAGTTTCTGTCTCCTCATT